ACGTTCCATCTGGGACGACACTAGCTCCTTACCCACCTAGATTTGTCTTTCCTCCTGTATGAGGCACCCACCATGTGCCATCTGTTGTGGCGGGTATTCAAGATGGGGTGCCTGGCTGGCTCAGTCAATAGAATCTTAATCTCGGGGTTGTGAGTTCGAGCTCCATATTGGCTGTAGAGATTAATTAAGAAAATAAAACTTAAAAAAAAAAGATGCTTGGGTAAACAGGTAGGTTTCAAAACAGCAGGTTAACCCTGCTAGCTTTAAGGGTTATTGGTTTCTTTAGACATAAATTCTTCCTACTTAGTTTCTCTTTTGAGATCTTTTCTACAGTGTTTTGAAGTTTATTCTTTCTGAGTCTAGGCTAAATGTCTAAGAGAAAGTTTCCGAAAGTGCAGTCTAAAGACCCCAGCATCAGCCTCTCCTGCAGTTCCTGTTAAAATGCGAGGTCCCAGGGGCGCCTGGGTGGCTCAGTAAGCTGAGCGTCCAACTTCGGCTCAGGTCATGATCTCACAGTTCATGAGTTCGAGCCCTGCGTCGGGCTCTGTGCTGGCAGCTCAGAGCCTGGAGCCTGCTTCGGATTCTGTGTCTCCCTCTCTCTCTGCTCCTCCCCTGCTCACACTCTGTCTCTCTCTCTCTCAAAAATAAATAAAGATTAATTTTTTTTTTTTTTTAAAAATGCGAGGTCCCAGACCCTTACTAGAATACTGAACCTGAAGGTCTGGGGTGGGGCCCAGGGCTCTGCCCCACCCACTCCTGGGGAGAATCCTCTCTCAGCTGAGGGTTGGTGGCTAAGAAGGAACATGGTCACTCTTCACAAGCCTTCTGCCATGTCTACTTCATGACACAATAGCTCATGGGTCAGACATTCATGGCATCATTTCCTCTCTTTCTTCCAGTATTTCTAATAAAGTTGTTTAGCAAGACTTTGTCAGATGTGCAATTTTTAGTGGTATTAGCAGATGTCCCAACTGCTGCAGATGCCACCCCCTTAATTCTTCCAATGCCATACCTATTTCGTGATCTGCATTAGAGAAGCAGAGCCTGGGGGCACCTGGGTGTCTCATTACGTTAAGTGGCTGACTTCGGTTCAGCTCATGATCTTGAGGATTGTGAGTTGGAGCCCCATGTCGGGCTCTGTGCTGACAGCTCAGAGACTGAAGCCTGCTTCGGATTCTGTGTCTCCCTCTCTCACTGCCCCTCCCTTGCTCACACTCTGTTTCCCTCTCCCTCAAAAATAAAAATAAACTTAAAAAAAAAAAAAAAGAAAGAAAGAAAAGAAAAGCAGAGCCCTACAACCAAGCTGCCCAGGGTTCTCTTTTCTTTTTTCCCTCATATATCCCCCTGCTTCCGCCTGCCAGCCAGAGATTCTTCCTCTCTGTCTCCTGTGTGGTTGGTAACAGTGTGATTTACTGGCCAAGTCAAAGTATTACATCAGTTTACTCACAACTGGCAAGGAAAAGGGGGAAATTAAGCATTTACCCTGCCTTTCCCTACAAACCATGCTTCAGGGTAATCCAACAGCCTTGATGAGGGACAGCTCTTTTTTTTACCGAAGAATTCCAGGTAACAAATGGGGTAGAAATAATAGAATTTAAAAATCAACATTTCACAACCCCTCAAAATAATTGATTCAGGCAAAACCCACCTGTGAATGAAATTGACAGTTGGAAGGTTGTTGGGGGAAACTTACAAAGGAGGGGTCAGGCTGTGGCCATCTGAACCCACTGCTCAATCTCAGCTTTACTCTGAGAGGGAGGGGCAGACAGTACTTGCCCCCCACCCCCCAGGAAGCACACAGCACCTGTGAAGGATCTTGTCCCACTGACCACCCCCCCTCCCCAGATGGAATGGGAAGCCAAATCTTCAGGTTTGATCATTGGAAATGTGAAAGATAGACGAAGGAGTTAAATGACACTCTGAGGAAGCTGACAAATCAGAGTGGAATGTTCTATAGGATGAATGCCTTTATTTCTGCATAGGTGTTATCAAGAAAAACAAAGAGGAGAGGTGGGACTATTGATCAACCTAGGTTTAAGTCACATCAAAATAAAATGTACAGGGTTTCAGGGTGCCTGAGTGGCTCAGTCGGTTAAGCATCCAATTCTCAATTTCAGCTCATGATCTCATGGTTTGTGGGTTGAGCCCCGCATCTGACTCTGCACTGGCAGTGCAGAGCCTCTCTCGCTCCTAAACATAAATAAAATAAAAAAAAAAAAAAAGGAA